CAGATGCAGGGGCCCTGCCTGCAGCCAGGAATCTGTGCACAGCACTCAGCAATGTCCAGCAGCTGGGGACAGTCACAGGTCAGGAAAGGCACCAGACAAAGGTGACAAATACCCTGTGCTGTGTCCTGCACTGTGTTCTTCAAAACCTTCAGAAAAAATGGGAGATGCAATTGTGTGAAAGGCACTATTTGTGCAATGCAGCGATGAACAGGGGAAACCCAGGCAGTGGGGGGAGAGTTCATCTCCATGTAGAAAAGCCACAATATGTTGGCTTAAGCACAGACGAGCTTAAGACATTCCAGGTCAAAACTTCACAGTTCAGCACACCTTAAACTACGCCAGTAACACTGTCTGTGAGCTCTGTACTGTACACTAGATCAACACAATTACGCAGATACCCCAGCCTCCCTTTTCCTTCCTTCCCCTTTCCATCCTCTCCTTTCTTCCTCCTTTCCTTTCTCCTCTTCCGTTTTCCTTCATCTTTATTCCTCTCTCTTTCTTCTTTTGTTTTCCCTTCCCTTTCTTTTCCTTTCCTCCCTCCTCTTCTTTTCCCTTTCCTTCTTTCTCTTTCCTTTTGCTTCATCTCTGTTATTCCTTTTCCTTTCATTCCCTTTCTCCTGTTCCCTCTCCACTGACCCTTTTCTGGATATTTTTAGTCCTGATCATTCCAGAGATTCCAGTTTACACTCAGGTCCCCCCTGCCCTCCTTACAATTAGACAGACAGACATACGGATATCTATAATGTATGTATCTATATTTTCTGGTACACAATCATCATTACGGTGGAATTTTCCCTGAGAAATTAACACTATATCCACTACTCTGGAAGAGATCCCCTGACATTGCTGGGGGATTTCCATCAGCTGAAGCTTCTAGTGGACAAATATCTTTAGGAAAGGGACAATCAGAATAGGCTAAATTAACATCTCAAAGTCCTTTTTCTAACCTTATTTTCCATTACTTCACCCTTCCAAGTTCAAGGCCTGAGATACATGTGGAAAAGCAGCAAAAAAACCCCCTGTCTTTGAAGAAAGCATGGACATTGTCTGGTCTGACCCAAAGGACACACGGTCAGTGGAAGGGAAAGGCTCCCTGTACTTTCATACAGCACGGGCTCACATGCAGTTAATGTCCTTGGTAAAGCCAACGTGCCTGTCTCTTCACTTACACAACTGCTACATTTACTTGCAAATTTACAGAAGAAAATGTCAAAAGGTGTTTACACATTGCAATGAACAAAACACCCACATTTCTTTCACTACCACTCATAACAAGTATGTGTGTGGGAACGTGGTATACTAAATTCCTAAAAATCACAGCAGGACTGTGGTTGCCCATAAATTGTATCTGACTTCCCGAGAAAATTCTGAACCTCTGGAACACATTACTATATATTTAAAGTTATACTAATGAAGACTGCAGGTACAGTGAGAGATTGTAAGTCTCAAACACATGCAGCGCAACTATTACTTTCTATTTTCTCATCACCTGGCAGAAATTTGAACTAGAAAACATTAAGTTCTCACTATTTGTGGAAACCCATACAATTGTCCTCAGGTTCCCTATCAGCAGAATTAAGCTTGCCCATGTAGCTTTCAAGCAGTAGTCAACGAAGAGATCTTTATTCTGTCTCTGGAGGGAAAGGCCTAGTCCATGTTGAATGCTCTTGTCCCAAATCTCAGGTAAGTATTACATCCAAGAAGAGAGCAATATTGAAACCTTCCTAAAAAGGCTTCCAAAGACAGCCACCACCTGAGAAAGCCTCAGGCACTGTCTGGGAGACATGCTGCTCAGAGCTAGCACTTACAGTTCTTTTGATTCTGGCCACTAATTCATGAGATTTTCTGTTTCTACCACAAGTGACAATTTTTGTCTGTGAGGGCAAAAGATGAAAAGTCATTTTAAAAACACAGCTTTGCAAGACTCCTATTCTAGACAGCAGCCTTGCATGGGTCCACTTTCCATCACATCAAAGGCTTCCTAGTCCCCTGGTTGGAATCACTAAGTATATGGGCTCTGAGAGATTTCACTTCATTTCGCTACTACAGCCCTCAAGGAGAGAAGATGTTTTCTCTAAGTTTTTAGCTATTCTAATAATTTATTAACCATGGCAGAACTGCTGCTTGATGTCTGGAGTGTGATTTTTTGAAGGGGTTAGTAGCAAAATCCAATCGCTTTCCCCTCCCTAGAAGCTACCTCTCTAGTTATATTACTATTCCATCCACAGCCTGAAAGGTGCTTCATGTGAGGGACTGGTAAGGAGGATAAATTAATCTGTGTAACCTTCCCCTATATATAACGCAGTGCAATTCTGTGACTGCATTGAAGAATGCTATTACCTGGGACCTGTCTGTCTGAAAAAAATGGGGCAACAGGAGTCTCATGAAGTTCAACAAAAGGAAATGCAGAGTCTGGCAGCTTGGGATTAATAACCCCATGCAACTGTAAAGGCTGGGGACCAACCAGCTGGAAAGCAGCCCCACAGAAAAAGACCTGGAGTCCTGGTACACGACCAGTTGAACCTGAGTCAGCAGCATGCCCTCACAGCAAAGGTGGCTAACAGTATCCTGGGCTGCATTAGGAAGGAAGAGTGATCCCAGGTCGAGGGAGGTGGCTCTTTCCCTCTATTCAGCCCTGGTAAAGGCCACACCTGAGTGCTGGGTCCTGTTCTGCGCTCCCCAGTACAAGGCAGACACGGACATACTGACTGTTCTGCGCTCCCCAGTACAAGGCAGACATGGATATACAAAGTCCATACAAGTCCAGCAAAGGGCCATAAAGATGTCTGAGGGACTAGAGCATCTCTCATATGAGGAAACACTGAGAAAGCTGGGACTGGTCAGCCTGGAGAAGAGAAGGCTGGTGGGGGGATCTCATCAATGTGTATAGATAACCTGATGGAAGGGAGTGGAGAAGATAGAGACAGACTCTTCCCAGTGGGAGTGTTGGACCAGACAATCTCCTGACGTTGCTGCCAGCCTCAACTGTTCTGTGTCCTGCGATTCTGTATAAAACTAGGTCAATCTTTATGAAAGCTATCTTCTTACCTTAATGCACTCTGCAGTGAAAATCGGAAGTATGGAAGGCTAGAGAGCTGTGGAAACTACTGAAGCAACACCAGTCAAACAGTTTTAACTAAGCAAACATGCTGCATTCAGGTTACATAAATCTTTTCCTTTGTAGCAAAATGTTAATTAGAAAAGCTCAAGTATGGTCTTTGTAAATATCCCTGTGAAGACATTTTTGATGATTCCTTAAACTAAAATAAACAACCTCAAAATATGCCAACATTACCCTGCTTCTAGCATCTAAATAAGAATGAATTATCTATGTTTAAAATATAAATAAAAAAACCCTGCATTGCTAGAAGCTAACAGCCTATCCACCCACCTCTATTTGCTGGAAACCTGATCTTTAAAAAGGTGTGTGTGGGAAGTCATTCCAGTTGAATGCCTTACCACCATGAAAGCAAATTAAACTGGAGGCAATCACTTGCTTCTAGTGACCAATATCCTCTATAGTACAAAGCCCTGCCTTCTTTAACAGATTATACTAAAAATCAGTGCACAAAAAATAGCAGAGGAAATGAACAAGGAATTGAAAAATGCATTGTGATTCTGGTCATCATAATAAGTGAAGGACTTTCAGGTGTATTTCATACAAGGCTGAAAAATGCAAACAACATTACAGGTTCTCTTTAGAGAAAAACAAAGCTGATTTAAAAAAACCCTGATTTGATACAAAAAAAGCTGCACATTACTGTCGCAAATGCAATGTCTTACTAGAGGTAGTTAGAATTGCTTTTGCATACCTTAAAGAATGAATTAATGAGAAGGAAACAGATTGTACAGAACTGTATTTTGAGCCTGACATAATGTTCAATCTACGGAGGACATTGAGAAGGAAACAGATTGTACAGAACTGTATAATGACATAATAATCTTCAATCTACGGAGGACACCATCCCTTTCAGCTCTAGCTTTTCTCCTTTGCTCTGTATGAAAAAAAATTACTTTTTTTTTTAAGGATAGCAATCCTTTAATGATAATTTCTGACACATACATATCAAGCATGCTCAGGCAAACTCCTAAGCTATCTGTGGCCAACCATTTAAAATGTAAATGCTTAAAAATAGTCAGAATCTCAAGTTTAAATTTAGTCATTTCAGGTGGCATCCATCCTGTGAGCTAGGTCATGAGTCTTAACTAGTTGTTCTGACACACTTTACAGAACTGTTTCTGAGAGAAGTCCACCCTTCTGCTTCTAAGTCCACTTTAACCCCTGGAACGCATCCTTAAATAGAGAGCTTAAAAAGATTATTAACAAAAAAAGGACAATAATTTAGTGCTTAATTGTTCTCTGTGGCTTTGAAAAGTTCCCCGTTAAAGAAAAGTGGTTTTAACTTCCAGAAAAAGCACAGCAGCTACAAAACCCATTAAGACTGAGTGAAAGCAAAATTTATCTACTTAAAACATGTCTTTTTAAAATTTAAAATTACTAATTGAGGATTTAGAAGTCTAAAGTACAGGCATGTAAATATTTTGAACTTTTATTTTTTAAAACAGGGTTTTCATTCTTACTAAATCAGAGAATCTTGGTGAGTAATGCTATCCCATTGCTATTTTGGTGCAGCAACAATGAATCACCACTATTATTTAACACATCCATTCTGAAGAATGCCAGATTACCATGATTTGTACTGGCATCAGTGTACTGGCGTGAGCGTCAGCCAGAATTAGGAAGCAGTTGGACCATGGACATCAAGATTTTCAAGGGCACAAATGGATTCCTGCTGCGCAGTTCCACATAACTACTTGTGGATGCTCATGACCGTGTGATTTATTGGTTTTGAAATTCCAATAAAAAAGTAGCAGCCTCCCTGACATCTACTCCACTCAGCAGGTATTTCAATTGCTAAATTTCATACCAGGGCTCATCAAGGCAATACCTCCAACATGCTACATAACATATAATGAATCCGTGCAAGGTCTGTACTCACGCAGAAGTTGTCTGCATATCATGCCAGCTTTTGCTGAAGTTCTGCTTCAGTTCATTCATCAGACTTATGCCAAGCTTTTGTTTAATTTCAACCAGGTGCTTTTCTTTGGCTGCTAGCACTTGCCGCAAAGTTGAAATTTCATCCTCTAGCTAAGAGACACAAAGAGGGAGGAGAAAGGAGAAAGGGGTTAGCTTGTTCCTACAGAACGATAAACACACTATGTCAAGAGATTAAATGACTCTCACATAAACTTGCATTTTTTGTAGGTGACTACAGAGGCAGAGAGATTCAAGTACTTATGGAAATCACAAAGAAACATCCAGAACAGAGCTGACACTACATTAAATTAATATCCTGAACTGTGTCACCTATGTGCACCATCACACACATGCATTTGATACGAGAGAGAATCCCCCAGTAAGAAAGTGACTATTGAGCAACATGACCAAGATCTGCCTTAGGGCATTAGGAGTCTCAAGCATCAGATTTCCATCCACTCGTAAAATGGCAATGGGCAGAACAAGAGAAGAATGGATAATTCAGGCAGATAGCTCTCTCTGAGTGCACAGGATTTTAACATCATATTTGCAGTTTTTTAGTCTTCCACTCATGAAAAAAACAAAAGATGCAAATTCTTAGGAGCAGGTTAAAAAAATAATTCGCATAGTCACATATGAGTTGAGAGTATCATAAAAAGTTACATCCTTGTCGCTCGAGTCATATCTATATTTTTAGACCCTACATATTTCAAAATAGTAACGTGAAAATATATAGCAGATGGACTGTTAACATTGAGTGAACAGGTCCTACCAAAGCATAGAAGACATTCAGAAGACATAGCAGATTAGCCTTTTCAGAGCTCTTAGTCATTAACCCAACTGTGCGAATTCAAGTTGTGGAGACACCATTCAGTCTGAACACAGCAATACAATTCTCCATGCCGTGGACATGATTTGAAACAATTAAACCAAGCCAGTGCTCTATTGAGGCAAGGACCAGGACACTTGACCAAGAGGAGGGACCACTGAACGATTCACTGGGGTCACCTTCTTCATCCAAGAGCCTCCCAAGCCAGTTACACGAGCAGCACTCAGAGGGACTGAAGCTAACAAGGACAAGTGACACCAGAGCAGCTGCCTTTCACTTCAGGTTTAGAAGTTCCCTTACCGACTATGTTCCTTCCTCCATATGTTAATAGGACGACATATGGTAACGTATCTGATTACCATATGTTAAGTTCCCTGGAACCACAGTCTCCCTGTGATTTAACTCCATAGGCTGCAGGGAATGAGGCAAGCACCAGCTGCATCAGTTGCTGACCTCCAAGGCTATATTTAGGATGTAAATACCAGCATTATTTTTATTTTACACATTCATGAATTCTGCTTCCTTGTAAAACTGGCTGCAAGCTCATTGTTCTTGGAAAAGTCTCACCCTTGAATCCCCCAGATATCAGCTTCTCTTTTGTCATTACCTGCTATCTAAATTATTAAAGCAGCTCGGGAATTAAGCAGCAAGACTATGAACACAAGGCAAAATGAGGACCTCAGTGAAGCAGATACCAGTATTCACTGATGCCTGTGATGCCAACACTTCACCAGTAGAATACTTAACAATCCAAAATTGCTTTAGTCCTTCCCATATCCTTTATGCTCCATTGTATTCCTAACCCGCAAATGAAAACCTGTCAAACGGCAGAATGAGTTCCTCTTCCTGAGGGGATAACTGGTTAAATGCTTACAGAAAGAAGAAATCACAAATGCCAGCATCCCTCAGATGGCAGTTCAGAGCTCCCTTTAGTTGTTTCCCACCCACAACAACCCCCCCCCCAGCGCACAAGTCTGCCTGAGTAATACTGGTAAAGAACCTAACTTAAACTAATACTAGTATGCTTACATGTACTTAAACATTAATGCTTTCCATATGGGCTAGACAGGCTGATCGTTAGGTACCTGGATACGTAAACGTTTGAGGGCTTCTATTAAAATTACTTTCCATCTGTTCCATTGAATAGACACCTAAAGCTGTAAAGCCCTAAGCAAGCATTAACCATGTGCTCAATGGCATAAGCATGAACAACATTTTTGACTGTATTAAATATAATACATTATTTTTCCTTAACGATCAGAGTATGGTTTTGATTTGACAAAATCCTTCTCAAGTTCCATCATTTTAAAATAATGGGACATACAAAGCCTCCCTGAAGTGTTCAGATATCAGTGATTGAAGACTGAAGTAGGCAGAAAGGATTAGGGATTTATAGTGGGATCCTGAAAAGCATTTAAGTAGGTTACATACCTAACTCCCATAGAAGTCAGGCATCACCTGCTTAGGCATTTTTGAAAAGTCCACAGTTATAAATGCAGGCGCCATGATGAAACTAGGGCTTCAGTCAACAGAAATATATGTGTCTATTCCTCACGTTTCCCTTCTAAGCGAAACAGAGTCAGAAGAATAGAGATGCATCACATAGGGATAAAGTTCCCTCCTCCCTTTTTGTAGGCTTAGGAATCAGAGTTAATAGTTGTTTTTCCTTTCCTCTGTTATTGTGTGGGACGTGTAAAAGCAAGGAGAGGAGCTGACCCCCTAAGACGCTGTGATTCCCATGATTAGCTGACATGAGTAGCATGTAAATCACATGAAGGTGAGACCTCAGGAAAATATCCACAATTATAGATCTCTCTGAAATCTGGGACGGACTAATAATATGGAAGAAGGACAGTGAAGTTCAGCACACAAACACAAAAGTATTTTGCCTTGTTTTGCTTGTCTTGATTATTTGAGGGCAAATTGTATGTCTTAGGAGGTTGAACATTCTTTTAAGACGGTGGCATGCCTGAAAAAAACCACCCCAGCAATTCTCCAACATATAATCTTCCCCGTTTTTGCCAGCAGACACTCACAAAACACAAACCAGAAATCGCTTATTCAGTAAAATGGAGCATTTTGGATAAACTACTATTGATAAAAAATTATGTCAGTTGGTATTACCTATATTCTGAGATACACATAGTACTGTGTAAAATGTGGAGGTGAAAAGATTCAGCTATTGGTTGGAATAACAGCGATGACTGGGCTGAATGATAAGCTGAATAGTAAATTCAGCATCTATTATGTTTGCTTTAAAGATCAAGCCAGTAAGCAATTAAAATATTAAGAGACCCCAAGGGAAAACAGAGCCAGCATAGTTAAATGTGTACGTTTAAGTTAGATTAAGTGTAGTGCCCTGGCCTGGCTGTTTGCCCAGCCCTCATCACCAGGAGAAAGCCTACCAGGTAAAAGCCATCACAGAAAAAAAAACAAGGACTATTTTTAAAGCAGATCAGTTCCTAGATCTAGTGGAGAGAGGTGTGCAAGTACCTGTTTGGGTACAGCACAGTGGCCAGGAGATGGAGAAGAGAGGAAGGCAGCACATGCACCACACTGACGTGGAGTACTGACGTGTACCACAGCCATACATCACTACTGAAAGGAAGGCAGACATGGCTGTTGAGGAGGGAGAACTACCTGAGGGACAGACCTTGTCAGGTATCATATAAAGAAATAAAAAGCGAGTTATGCAACCAACATAATGTCCCAAGGGACTCCCACTGTCCCCTGTGAGCTGGTGCACCCATCTTTGGTCTCACCACCAGGCTTCACCCCTGCACTGTAAGAAAAGCTGGAAAACATGTAACACACACAAAAAACGTAACAAGAAAGGACCAGCTATATGACTGGTAGGAAGAGCAACTACAAGGGTGTACTTCATAACCGAAAGAGGTTCACTTTGTGAGGAAGAAGAAAATATTTTACTTCATTTCATTGGCTTTCAAAAAAACTAGTGATCATTATTGAAGCGTTATCCCTTTTCAAAACTGCTGAGGATTTTAACAGGTATACTAAAATGCATAAAATATTTGTAAGGAAATGTGAGGACCTTACTACGGTAGCCTTTTAAAGAAAGTAGTTGTAACTGTGAACAGAATAACGCAGCACAAAAAATAACAGGCACTTCGTCTCTGCACCAAATCACATAGCTCGAATTTTACACCTCCAGGCTGAGTACCTGTTGATTTGTAAGTTTTAACTTGGGTGAACAGCACCCAGAGACACCAACAATACACATACATAAAATTAGTGATGAGTTTGCAGAAAAAGGTACTCACATCTTTCCTCAAACTGGGAATAAACATGCGGCAACACACATAGTTGAGCTCAGAACCTGAGCATCACCTTTAGAAAGCTAGCAGATCAAACCAGTGCTTTTGTGGAGGTATGGGAGGGGGAAGACAGCAAGGAGTAAATGACTACTTTGATGAGTGTAATGGCAGGACAGCTGACAGCAGTGAGCAAGAGAACTCAAAACCTCAGCCCCCGTCATGACTCAGGAGTCATTGTACCGTGCTCCTCACGCTGAGAAAGGAAGGAGGGGGGTGGGAGATCTGTTCTGCCAATAAGCTTCTGGCCTTGTGTAAAGTTTGGGGGCTACAATTTTCTGCTATTATTCTGAAGCATCAGACTGACCTCTGTTAACTCAAATGACTGTTAGAAGTTCCTTAAGAGTTACTGATTTTATTTGCATTGTAGAAATTCCCAGGCTTGATTAGGGTCAGGGCCCTGATGTCTTAGCCAGGCTAAAAATACAAGAACAGAGTTAGTCCACGCTCTGAAAAGCTTCCAGTACAGAGACCACTAGCAGGGAAATAGGAAAAAAGATGAGAAACTTGTCAGAAAAACAGCAGTGCTAGTTCCCCTCCTAATGCCGGGGAAGGATGGAGGAAGAAGACAGAGAATATATATACACAGCAGATACACAACACAGAGATGGAACATATTTTTTTCTGTTTTAATACATGTACAACAGGGGCTCACAACAGTTCCCCCTTATGTCAACTATTAAGTGATTGCAGCATTAAGGAAGATTTGAACCTTTCAGAACAGTAAGACAGCAAGTGCTTGTTCCTACAGGCTCAAACAGGCATTACCTAACATATAAGGACATGGAAGAAAACAAAACTACCACGGGTGGAAGACAGAGGGCTTGAAATTAAATACTAGCAGCTTTTCAAAAGGAAACATTAGAAACCTCTGTGGGAACTGGCTTTCTGGAGTCAAGGTCTTCCACATTTTTTCAGTCTTTTCTAAGAATTATAAGCCTCATTTAAGTTTAGACTTTTTTCACTCTAAAGTCAAGTTTTTCCAAACATTTCTTAGCATAATTATCAGTTTTATTTTGTTTTCAAGCATAAGCTGTATGCCAGTAAACTGCTGTGAGCAATTCAGAAAATAATTTCTAGGTCAGCCAAGATCACAATATTTGAAAGGCAATCTCTCAGTAGTGTGTTGGTACATGAATCAAAGCATTTCTACCAGGAACCACTGAGAACTCTCTGCTCCCACAGGAATCAGCAAGCAGGAAGGATGCCCAGAAACTGTTGAGATAAATTCTCTCGAGAGGCATATCATTCTCAGATAGCTGCAGGAAGTTGGTTTGGTTTTTTTTTTTCCTTCCTTGTTTTCATCTGCCTCTTGAGTCCCTTTCAGCAGAGAATTACAGAATGCCTGAGGTTGGAAGGAAACTCTGGAGGTCATCTGGTCCAGCCCCCTGCCCAAGCAGGGCCATGTGGAGCCAGTTGCCCAGGACTATGCCCAGAGAGCTTTTGAGTATCTCCAAGGATGAAGACCCCATAACCTCTTTGGGTGCTGTCACACTCAGAGTAAAAACGTGTTTCCTGATGCTCAGAAGGAACCTCCTGTGTTTCAGTGTGTGCTCATTACCTCTGATCGTGATGAAAATACAATAATGAACATCCCAACTTCTATCTCATTGCTATGTGATGAACTGAACATATTTACAGATGTGACAGGATCAGCAAAGTAGTAAAAATTAACTAGCAATTCATAAACACAAGGCCTGATTAAAGTTCAGAAGGAACCTCCTGTGTTTCAGTGTGTGCTCATTACCTCTGATCGTGATGAAAATACAATAATGAACATCCCAACTTCTATCTCATTGCTATGTGATGAACTGAACATATTTACAGATGTGACAGGATCAGCAAAGTAGTAAAAATTAACTAGCAATTCATAAACACGAGGCCTGATAAAACATTAAAGCGAGAAAACAATCTTTTAGGTTTTCTTTCACCAAAAAATCCTAAATCAGCATTGAAGGTAAATGACTTGACAGTCACTTGAGTGACTTCTTAAAGTATTTAATATTACAACTTAATATTAATTTAAATATTTTTGTTGTGTGAAAGACAGGGATCAATCTCTGCAAAAGAACAGTCTTCTGGATGTGCCCATTCTGTGTGTAATAGCAGCAAATGCTTCACAGAGCGCTGTGGAACAATTACAAAGGAATGGTTTTTGCCTTGCTAGTTTCCACTTTGAAGGTGTACGCTCCCAGCCTAAATTCTGGGTTTCCTATTATTCAAATGGGTTTTTATGTTATTCTTGCTATGTGAAGTTTTCCAACCTGCTGTCTTAAATATTTGTTTTTTCAATTAAGACAAAACCAACACCCTCTCTTCATACAGCTGTGATTTCCATCATTTTTCTTATATTTAAAAATAAGTAAACCCTCACTGTTTCCCATTCTCTCATTTTCCATTTTGGAATTTCACTTTTGTTTCTGCAGTATGAAGCAGCAGTAATTAAAACTGATTTCACCCTTCCATTGTAGACCACATCTAGACAATCTCTTAATCTTTGTAATAAAAAGACCACAGGGCTCACACCTTTTTCCTCCAATCTCCTTGCTATGAAGTTATTTCTAAACATCTTCATGGTGTCATGACATCTCCTGAAGCTCTTTAATTAAACAAACAACAAATGAAATACAAAAGTATACCCTCTCTAAACACATCAGTGCCAAAGGAAACAAAAATGTGGTGAAATTACTGTGTTTATCATCATCAATCTCATCTGGAACCATCATCATTACCTTTTCCTCTAAGCACCACACAAAGACTCTTTTCCATCAGGTGTCACAACCACTGTTAACAACAATACCATAGATCTAATAAGAACACCACCTTTCATTCTTTATAAAGGAAGGTTTATAAATAAAGACATATCTTGACTAAAATGGTAAGGTATATTTAACTTTCTCTCTACAGTCATCAAGTAGAAGATACTTAATCTTCAAAAAATATCTAAGGAATTTAATTGCTTCATAATTACTGTAGCCTAGAATAATTTTACTAAAAAGGAAGAGCATACCTTTATGATGCATACTTCCCCTACAATTAGTTTCTTCCAGTTTAAGGAAGTACAAACAGTAACACTCATAGAAATTCAAATTCATTACCTTGGCTAGCTCAATCTTTAACTCCTCCTTTTCTTCTTCAGAAATCATACTGTTGAAATCAACGTCAGTGACCACATCTTCATCTGCTTCATGCAAAGACTGCGTTTCCAACAGGCCTTAAAGTGAAAAGTTAAAAGGTCAAGACAACTATATCAATTATTTCAGCTATGATATTAACCTCCCCTAAAATCTAAGAACGATACAATATTCACCCACTAGGAAAAAACCCAAAGAAACAACAAAACAACCTTTTCCTTCTAAAGGTCATTTGAATTCTGCTTCTCTGCTTCTGAACAGCTACTGGAAGTATCAGATGATAATCTCTGCACAGAAGCAATTTAATATGTGAAAGCAATTACCTTGGACCCCACTAGTCCCTGATGAGGCATTTACTTGCTTCTAACAATACAGAAGAAAAGAGAAGGGGGGTGGGATGAGGATTGGGAGAGGGGGTAGGAGAAAAAAAAAAGCTTTTTCCTTAAAATAAGCAATCTGGTTAATGTGCATCACTGATGTGAATAGTGGCAATAACACACTGAACAATATAGGAAGTATATACTGAGCCAAAATTGCTTTAGAAGTACGTCTTATTGCAGCAATTTGAGAACCTTACAGATGTACACAGTTTTCAGAAGCAAATGCCCAACCTACTGTTTGAACTTTGTAAGTGTTAGAGAGAAGCGTGCCATGATTGCTCAATCTAAACCTGTGATGGATGAACAATTATACTGGACCTCCAGTTACTGCTTCTGTGTGTCCAAGACCAGGATCAGTAGGTATGATTACCAAGATAAGCACACACATCAATGTTTGTGAGACTTGAGCCTGCCTGGTATAGTATATACAGAGGAAACGAAATATATCCTATCTCCCAATCATTCAGCAAAGAGAATGATTGCTGGGGTTCCAGCCATTAATAGCCTCTCATTCTTCATTGTCTGCAAACAAAACGACACAAAACACTGTTGCTCCTCTGGAACTTGTTTTAAAGTTCTCAATCTGTTTCTATTGTGGAAGAAAATTCTCCTCCAGGCTACAGCTGGGACAGCACTTTTCCCTGTATTTCAGTTCTTTAGAAGGGTAATCAGCGATCTCAGCTAACCCTGACATCTGTATACTGCTTAATACAGAAGAGATCTCTTTCTCAGTCCATAGAGGACTGTATATTCTATTACATAGAGATTAGAATTTAACTTTGTTAAGTTTTGCAGTAGGGAATAGGGGTTACAAGCAGCAAGTCTGGAGTATTCAACAACTTGAAACTGAGTACTTTATATTTTCATGCAGAAAACAAAACTCCCTCCACCTTTCTGTCATTTCTCCCACCTAGAGTTCCTCAGGGTACCTGGATTTCCTTCTATTTAATAGAACAGAACTGATTTGATTCATACCATAAACTTCACTGCAAAGCACAATGTGGTGAACTCAGCCTTGTTAATTACAGCCTCCCCTGAGTGGGAAGATAAAGAGTAGCAACACAGGTGCTGAACCCCTGTCTGGCATCACATGCAAGAACAAAGCATCAGCCTTAAGCACAAAACCTTTTAAAAAACATGAAAGCATACAGAAGCAGTTCGTACCTTAGCTATTACCCAAAAAGCAGCTTGCCAGGAAAACCTAGATTGCCAAAGTCACAACAAAAGAAAAGCACATTTATTCAGTAGGAATACTCCCAAATCACTTTTGTTAACACCCCTCCATCTCTAAACACAATTGTTGTTTGGTATTTGAGGTGTTTGTTGTTTGAGGATTAATAGAGTTGCTATGGGATTCAGGCTAAACTTAGTCCCCACGGTGTTGAAAGGCGTCTCTGTTTTTTCACGGATGGAGGAGCAGCAGCACAGGGCAGCTCTTGGAAAAGCTGGGAAGAATCTCAGGGGCAACAGAGTTAAGGCTGAAAACCTTTAAGCAAAGTCTTGGGGTAGATGTGAGATTAGGTGATCTTGGAGCAACTGATACTTGAGCTAAAAAGCAGACAGACCTGTGCTCAAGGGACAGCATTAGTTTGGAATTGGCTAGGTAAAGGGGCCAGAATCACTGGACAATGGTTAGATAGAGATGGAAGCCAACATGGGCCAAAATCACCAAAGACAACTGAGTAACATTTAACTAGCCCCAATGGTTGAACTCAAACTGAAATTACAATCCATTCCAAAACAGCACATGCATGTCAATCTCCTCCATGATCCTCTGCAACCTCATCCACTGCCAGTCCCAATTTTTATCTCTTGCTTCTCATCTAAGTCCTTTGCAATCTAGTCTGATCCTTCAGTCTCCACTGTCTTATTCAAGCCACTACCAGAGCCTTCCCTAATGATCACTGTCCCTCTGCAGAGGCTTCACTTCAGTCATCTCACAGTTCCAGTCTGAACATCTTTCCACCATACTATGGGTGGTTCATCCAGTCTCAGTTCTGAAACTCCCTCATGAGCATTGTCACAAGCAACCTTCTCTCTTCCTCTTCCCTTGCTGTGCTCATTCTCTGTCTTTCCTTCACGATCCCTGTTTTTTCCAGCCATGTCTAGTAACTTTCAGTCCTGAACTTCACCTTCTGTTGCCATTCTACTCTGTTGAAGACAGCTTCATTGGTATCCTCTCACCACTTATGACTGACCATTTTAGTCCTGGGCTAGGTCTATCAGCTTAGGCAGGGTGCTTCAGTTCAAGCCCTAGGTCATCTGAACTTCTCAGTCTCTTTTTTCCACTTGAGCAATAGAAACTCATTTCTTGAAATCTGACCTGAAAAGACCTATTCACCAGTGTCTGGGGCTACCCTCACAGACCATTTCTCTAATTTGCCTAAATTAGTCTTCAGCTTAGGAAAGGCAGGAATAAAAAACTGAACACATTAGGAAGAAAACAGGCTTCCCGAGGCAGAAGAGATCTCAACTCTTCCCATCTACTGAGAATGTAAACATAGAACTCTGCCCCTGTGATTTATATCCTAGAGAATTTAGCCTCCACAATTTTAAGCAACTGCAGAGCAAAGTGTGCAGGCAAGGTTCCCAAGACTGTTCTTAGCCTTTTTTTTTTTTAAAAAACTTATGTGCCTGTCACTATTTCCTTTAATAACCACTGAGTCCTGTATTAGATTTCAAACAGAGTTAACAGTCTCTTAAAACAAGTTTCATGAAAGCAGGCAGCTGGTAGAAAAGATTTAAAGTGATTTCGCCAGCAGAGCCAATGCTGGATGAGCTCATCCTTACATGCGATATCAAAGAAACCAAACAGGGAAGAAGGATCATTTATCAAATCTGTTTCACAACAACAGAAAAAAATGTCCAAGTTTGAACTTCTGAGTACCACAGCATCCATTCCACCAAAGCACACCTTCTGTGAGATTCCTACAGCACCTTACCCGGGAGGAGTGCAGCACAGCCTCAGGAGCAACTATAGTATTAACTTGATTCAAGGAAGTCAGTAACTACAAGACACAAAACCATAGGAAATTAGGCTATTGCCATCTTCCTACTCATAAGACAACTTGTTAGTTCTGCAGTCTCCAAGGAGAACAGGAACCTACAGCAAAACTCCCACCCATATATAAGAATTGGTAATGATTTTGGTAGTAAAACAGCTCTTATTGCTAGTATTCCTGACCCCAAAATATTCTCCCACCTTCTACTCTGTGCAGGAGGCACAGCCTCTTCTCAACCTTCCTTCCAGGGTCCTTTCAACTAGGCAGCCTGGGAAACACACCTTTTCAGACATTGGTTATAGATGTACCAAGTACAGAAGCATAATAGAATATAAGAGCTCAGTGGGATGGCTGCTATGCCTTGAATTAACCACGAGTAATTCTTTAATAATCAAGGAACAAGACAGGATCCTATTTAGTGCGTTTAATCTAGCTACACATTTTATTAAACACACTTCATCTAACAATTCACGAAAACACGTACAAGGATGAGTTGATTCAGCTAAATGGCTAGAGCTGACTCCTAGAATGTAAGCATTTTTCTGCACTACATATCAGAGCGCCAGATTTAGGTATCTAAAAGCCAGAAATTTAAGATAAAACTGCATTTTTATACTTCAACATATGCATTCAATTCCAATAACTGGAATTGACCTCCACGTACTTGTCTGAAGTAGAGGTTTTGCAAGTTTCATTCAGGCAGGCCACTAACAGATTGGATGTGAGGATAGAGCCCACATACCACCACTTGCTAGCATCTATTATCTTCTCCTCCTCCGTCTTGTCCAGATTAAGCCAATCCTGGTTCTCCTGAATTTAATTTCAGTTGCTGTGCCTGGTGCCCAGCCATCCTCTTCCACAGCAAAATCACGTTAAGAGGCACCAATGGAGCAGAAGCCACTGTAGAACCTATTCTGTGAACTTCCCACCCCTTATACTCCAAAGTCAGCTGAGGAGACCTCGTTGTCTATTCCTTTCTCTCCACTTTTTCCAGTTGCAATCAAGTTCAATCCAGAAGCTCAATCAAGATTTAGCTCTGGGATGTGCAATTTCAGGGACAGATGCAAAGCTCAGCTCACCTCTCTCATTATCTCTTGCAGATAGCCCCTCCTCTTGTGGCCTGAGAGCACTAGGAACAAGATCTGAAGGTCCCTATGATCTCATACAACCTTATATTCCTACAACATATTATACTAAGAATATACTCATGTGTAACTTATCTATCCTCCACAAACAGGAAAACTAGTGATTTTCTGGATGTACATCGCTTCAAAAGAAAAAAAAAGCCCTGATAAAGTATGGGAAAGCATATAGTAGGTATAAAGCAGTGCAAAGAACTGTTTGGCTTTTACTTTAAAGAAAGTTTTAGTACTTACTGTCACAGATAATTTGATAAAATATGCAGGAAATATGAAAAGTATGGGATTATCAGCAATTAGGAACTGCAAGTCATACAGAAAGATCCAACTCAAAACAATTGAGTGAACAACCCTTTGTATTAGGATATTTATACAGGAAAAGTAGGGGGTGGATAGCTGAGGGAACACATTTAATATGATCTTCTGAAAGATTCATACGACAAGATAATATAACCACCATACAAGGAGTTACAGTATGCTGAAACAATTCACGGGCATTTTTGAGTTTTCTCCCAAAAATCATGGTAGTTGTGGCTGAGACTGTGGCTTTACTGTCTGC